TAAAAAAAAAAAAAAAAAAAAAAAAAAAAAAAAAAAAAAAAAAATATTTTATTAGGTAATTATTATTTATTATTTAATTATTTTATTTATTTTGTTTTTTTTTCTAGTGTATTATTTATTTTATTTATTTATTTATTTATTTATTTATTTATTTATTTATTTATTTATTTATTTATTTACTTTTTAATAAAGAATACTTCTTGCCCCTATCTATCTTTTCTTCTTTTACAGCAGGACCCATCATTGTCTCCTTTCTTCTTTTGTCTCCTTTCTTCTCCTTTTTCTTGTCTCCTTTCTTCTCCTTTTTCCTGTCTCCCTTTTCCTGTCTCCTCCTGTCTCTTCTTCTTCTTCAGTATCCCTCCTGTCTGTTATTCTTTATTTCTTTTATATTAAGGAAAAAAAAAAAGAATAAATAAATAAATAAATAAATAAATAAATAAATAAATATTCTTCCCTCCCTATATAATATATATATAATAAATATATATAGGTATAATCCTTTCCTCTCCTCCTCCTAAAGGGAGACGACAGGGTAAGAATAGAGCTGCCTATACACCCGAATCAGCAAGCCGCGGTGGGTGTGTGGCTAGCTAGCTAGCTAGCTAGCTAGGCAACAACTTTCTATTTAATAGTAGTACCCTATACATATATATATTCTATTGAATATATACATATAATTATACATAAATATATATATAAATATAAATATATATACCTATACTATATAATTATATATATAAATAATATATTTATTCGTATTTATTCCCCTTTTTTATACATATAAGTCTATAGGGGTCACTCCTGTATAGATGTCTATAGTTGGAGTGTCTGTGCAGTGTACAAACCACACATGCTGGTGTCACGGTAGGTATTCAGGGGTTAAATTAAAGGTAAATTGATGAATAATACGTAAAAAAACAAACAAATTAAATAATTATTTAATAATATAAATAAAAATAACAAAAAAATGAATTATTTAAACATATAATCATCTATTTATACCTGTAGATACACCGCAGCCTACACCGGTCTGCAGTGGTCGCTCGGGTGTACAGGCAGCTCGTTATGCAGTGTATATGTATGCATGCATAAATTCTTTATTTCTTCTTTATTTCTTCTAATTATTTATATTTATTTATTTATTTTATTTATTTTATTTACTTTTTTATTTATTTTGTTATTAATTATCATAAAATAAAGGAATTATATATAGATGTTCCTATGCTGGCTTATAGCGAGCAGCTAAGCAGATTTCAGCTGTACAGGCAGCTAATAAATATAATAATTACTATGTTATAACAATTATAGTTAATTTAATTATTTATTCAATTTAATTCAATTAATTAATTAAATTAATTAAATTAATTAAATTAATTAAAATTAATTAAATGATTAAGATGCGGTGTATGTACAGCTGGTAGAAGAGAGAGGAAAAAAATTAAAATTCAATGTTTAAATAAATAAATAAATAAATAAATAAATAAATAAATAAATAAATAAATAAGCTATACATGAATAAGTACATAATAATTAAATAATTAAATAATTAAATAATAATAATAAGGGGGGTATTTATAAAAAGACAACAAACAAAACAAATAAACAAAATAAATAAATAAAACAAATTATTTTTTTGTAAACCCTCCTAAACCCTAAACCCTAAACCCTCGTAAACCCTCATAAACCCTCATAAACCCTTCTTAATAAACCCTAAACCTCCCATTACCATCCTCTGTATTTAATATACCATTAGCTCCTCCTAATCCTTGAGAAAGAGCAGCAAAAAATAAACCATTGCTTAGTGTACATACACCGCATTCAAACTCCTTACGCTGCATGCATGCGCATGCACAGACACAGATATATACATTCATGCATGCATGCATGCATGCATGTAGAGGTATATGTATGCATGCTTGCATGCATGCAAAGACACATAAATATTTGGGGCTGTACACATGTATATATAAATACATAAAAAAGGGAAGACATCTATTAATTATTT